TGCCTCTCTAAGTCCGTTGAGAACAATCTGGACGAGCAAACGGTCGTGTTTATCTTTGCCGTGAATCGAGATAAATACAAGAAGGAATCTAGCCGAATTTTAGAATGTTTCCTTCGCCAGGAGTTTAGTTTCGTCACGAAACTCATGGCCTGATGCTCTTGTAATCGTTTACAAAAAACGGCCGCCGCCAACTCGATAGCCGCTTCATTATATGTCCACATACTTTGAGCACAAGAAAAATCCAAGAGCCAGCAGCCTCTAAAATAACTCAATAGAAAGGTCCTGTGAACTATAGGGAAGATTCCATCAAAGATTCCATCACTCATTGTGGAGTAGCCGTCATTAACTCTGCCATTACAACGGCCGCTGATAAGAGGACACAGTAAATCCAAGTAAAAACATTCCACAGGCAAACAATTTTAAAATAACGCCAAAAACTTGTTCTGTAATCACCATAGAATGATTCTTAATACAGAACTTCGCTAACTATCGAACGATGGCTGAGATTTAGACAGATAAAAACAGCCTTCCAAAATCTCCGACACAACTTGAAAAAGTTGGGCTGTCTTTTTCAAGTTTGTTTTCATTGGCTCGCGCATGCGTGTTGGGTGACATAGCCCCTTTAAGCAAAACCTTATCGAGATATTTTGTAATGAAGTTTTTATTATTAGAAATACGGTAAGAACAGGAAAATCTTGATTTTTGGCCGTTATCTGTAGAAAACGAAGCGCTTTTGACCTGCAATTTCACCTCATAGTAGTTTATATCTTTTTAAAAACATGTGTGAAAGATCGTGGAGATAGCTCTGCTTGATTGCTAGAATCGAAAGAAGGATTTGATTAGTATGTATCGAGACACTCTTGTTAGCGGTTTTGTAAACATTTCGGTGTACTTTAATTAACAAATTAGCGAATAATTTTAAACCGCTCGATAGACTTTTTAAAAGAATTAAAATTCTTCTCGTAATTCAAACTGAGAATTAGTCAGCCACTTCTTCATTTTCATACCCATTACTAAATGCTATCTGCCATACTCTGTTCTTCCAGTAGAGATGATTCTAGAAAGTTATTCGAAAGTTTATTTAATCAATTCACGACTGGAAATAGCCCATTCCAGCTAGTGCAGTGCAGTATAGTGCCCAACAAAAACAACTGCAAATATGTAAATTACTCATGACATGCTAGGCAATTACTGTAATGTAACTGGATTATTACGCCGACTTCAGGTTAATATTCAGGTCTTTAAAATAATTAAATAAACATGGAGACGTCTTTAAAAACTGGCTTTGCCCAAATTTTCTCTCGCTGCCCCAAAAATCTGAGTTGCCCAAAATTTGGGGGGGCTGCAGCCCCCCTCGCCCCCCCGGCCCGTACGCCTATGGTATGGCGTGTATAATATAGAACCCGAATTATTTTAGGCAGAATGTGCAAGAAAAATTGTTCCCTTAAAAACTAAAAGTGGCATTTATGGTTGTTAGTATCAGCCCAGTATTGTTAGCCTGGGGATTTTTAATCCGTAGGTTTTTTCACATCATGATACGGGTTTTCAAATAACATCTAATTGTGTGAATAATTTATTTATAATTCTAACTTATAGTATCAATGACACCGACCATCATTCAATACACGTCGAGAGTGCTCAGACTACAATTGAGTAACTAATTGAAACAGAGAGGAAAAAAAAGCCTTCGGAACTCCTCATGCAACGTATTATTCTGGCCATTACATCTGGAGTGGAACCGGATGAAATGTACTGAGGTAATTTTTTTTATGCCGTCTGAATTCGATGTTCTTTAGCTGTTCTTAGCAGGCGCAAAGATTTTGCTTTTCATGTTAAGCGACTGCCACACGATTAAACTTTCATGTTGAATTCAATTCAAAGTTTAATGCCGCTGTTTTTAACTTCTGTAGCTCTGATTTCTCAAACCGCGAATTTCACAAGTGCCGACTTTAATTCGAGAATAAATAAACTGCACATGAGATGCGACGTCTGAATCAGTTGAATTCGACAGTTTCAAATTAAATACGACTTTGCCAAATCTGCCACTGAAACAGTCGAAGATTCGACTTAGGTTCGACATTTGATTCAGACGACGCATTTCACATGTGCAGAATATAATGCATTATGTAAGAAAGTGTTATCCATCATTGGACAACGAAAGGACGGCAGTTAAATTCGACACCATTATATCCGAAGTCTGAATAAACTGCCGTATGTAAAAATTATTTTAGTCGACTAAAATGGGAGTTGAATCAGACCAAATAAGGCACATGTGAAATTCGACGGGCCTAAGGTTAAATTTTGAGATCCCTCATCTCTCTCCGCCACAAACCTCAGAGATCCTTGGTCGCGATCTCACTCGCTCAGATCCACAACATTTAGCTCAGGTATTTAAATGTTTCTGCAGTGAGTGTCGGAACTCTAACTGTTTCCGCCCTTCGCTCTTCTAATTTATCTCGAGTCCAGCATTGACTAATGTACTAATGTTAGCATTAATCAAACAAAGGAATTGAAGGCGTGCCCTCTAACTTGACTAAGGGAAAGAAATACTACGTGAAAATCATCGATTACAGTACACATGAGAACGCGAGAGATCGATCGTAATTCACTGGCTTCTCACATCGCATCCCAGCGATCTCCTCCGCGCTATCTTTTCATGGGTTGGATGTACAAACAGTTGACTGATTCTTAGTTACGGAAGGCCTTTTGAGTGAAATAATTTACTAGGGAAATTATAGCCATCTTCCATTATGTTTGCCACGACATCACGCCACAAGACTCATATGCATGACGTTGCTTTATTTGCGTACAAACACAGATGAGTATAGTATGGCTTTGTACTTAATTTGTAATTATAAAACACACGAATAGGGGGATTTTCACTTATTACCTTAGTAACTCCGTCAACTTAAACTTCTCGAGGCTTTTCTTAGTTACTTGCGTGTTCAGGAAGTTTACTCAGAAACTGCCGTTGAAAATCATTTGTTTGTCCTGAAAATTTGCCTCTCATTTTTGCATTAAAAAAAGGAAACTGTTGTTTGTTCAGAAACTAAATCTATTTGACGTATTTGTAGACAAAGCCAAATTGCTAGACCATATGCAAATCTGCGATTGAATACAACAGAGTACCGTCCTAAGTAAAGTTTAAATATGTATTGGATTTGTTCTGGTGGGTCAGATGCAGTGCGAGAAGAAATCTTTTTGTAAGTAGTAATTCTGACTGCAATAATATTTATTACATGTACCATCAGCATTGAGAATAGAAAGTCTAGTATGCTATTAATACTAAATAACGATTCAATTGACTAACGCCGATTTAATGAACAGGTCCTATGACGTATAGGTTTACAACTTGAAGTTTTCACGCCCGCTCCTTCAGCCAAACCATTCACTGTTAAATTGACGAAGTTCATTGTCTAGTAGACAGTAGTAGACTCTCCACCCAACATTCTAATGATAAACTATACGCTCGGCACTGACCACATTTTCCACCTTGCCTCATTTGTATGGTTGATGCTATAACTGCATATTAACGTACCAGCAAACCGCAATTTCGCAACGCGCATATTCCTTCGTTTAAATTCGAGTAGCGACTTTTAAACTGAAAAGCCATGTGCAATGCGCTTGTACAATATGGACTACCATTAGCTGGCAATTTCGCCGGCAAGCAAACGGGTTAAGTTTAAACTGGAGTAGATTTGCCCTGATTCTTGACGAATCTAAGTGGGAAATTTTGGTAGTGGATCCGTTTTGACGTTCACGAAGATGCGTGAATCCAAAATAAAGAGTCCCGGTTTGGTTGCGTATCCCAAGATTTTGAATCCGGAATCAAAAGTCAATACAATATATTTTGCAACCGATTCTCGAATGTTCAATCAGATGAATTGATGTGTGTTAAAGCCGCCTGCAAATCCGAATACTCTAAATATAGTAAATTCGGAAATATTTATGAATCCGGAAAAATCTTTTGTGGTGTAAACTTAGCCCAACAAGAAAGCTACGTTGGGGAAATGTATCATAATTCGGCATCCGATGGTGATTCAACGGGCTGTTTTTTCCGACCGCTAAACAACATGCATGCAGTATTGTGAGCTCTAGATACTTTCCTTACGCTCTTGATTCTGAATGTGGAAGGGATAGAATTAGGGGGCAAAGGTTGATAAGTCTTCTTAAATGTTGTAACTTTTGCCCTGGGACTAAATATTTTCTTTAAATACGAGAAAATAGAGCACGAGCGAAGACACAGAATCACGCGAGTAGTAATTGATAATGAAGAGTTGTTCAACTGCCACTTGGGGTTTATTTCCTTATCTTATCTTTTTCAAGATAACTAACTTATCTGTAGGTTGCGCTGATTTCCAAATTTTAATGTAGACTCTTAGCCAATGAAAAGGCAGACAGTGTGTGACTTTAATTTTTAGATACATTTTCGAATCTAATTGTAAATCGCTTTATTATCATTATTAATGACGAGACAGTTTCTGTTGTGCAGTGAAGATGATGTCGACTTTCGCGTATAAGATAAACTCAACAAATTACCCTGCTCCCAATGTATAGATCTTTTTAGTTCATGGGTTTTAATCGCGTTGAAGTTAGCCCCGAATTTTTATCGGGTTAAATTGCAATTGCTTCAATTGCGATTACAAATGTGACAGCCATATTTTCATTTAGAGTTTTTTTTATCTTCATAGAGACGACTCTGAGTTCATTATCTTGAAGCTGAAAAAGAACTTATACTGTTTTAAGCTTTAAACGCGAGCAGTGTCTCTTTGCTAACAGCTTAATCTCATTCTAAATAATTCCCTGTTGTCAGGTCGAAAGATTAATGGTGATATAGAAAATTATATTGGGTGTCCTGTGAACCAGATAACGTACGCAAGTGTGCAATATCATCTTACGGTCAATCAACGTTCAACTTCCCTAAAGAATGTCTCGGCAAGAAAGAGGAAAGAAAATGTCTAGTTGAATTAAATAGATACTTGACTATTTCCTCACCAAAGGCTCGCAGTACAGTTAAATCAAAATAGCCGAAATAATAGCATAAAAACAAAATTTGTGGTGTATTCAATGACGAACATGCGTTTATTGCCATTTAAAAAAATCTATAATTTGCTGCGTATAAGCGTCAAAGTATTTTGAAATGCTTTTCTTCCTTGATTTCGGACAAGGTAAAAGGATGTAGTAGCTTAAAGATTCCCAGTAAAGTAACATATTGTTTTTTCTGACTGATTATCTTTTATTTTTATTGTTTTTACTTGTACATGTAGCTCGTGTTATGCTACAATGGACTTTCCTTCACGTTTTTTTTAACTTAATGGCGTATTATGATATTTCGAATCAAATATAATTATCCTTTTTTTTGACGTTGCAGCTTGTTGTAAACCCCTCATCACTTGGTACACACAGCGCATGTCAACTCTCGACCGCCGACATAAGGAAGACACGGGAGTGAGCCACAAAAACCTTCCACAGCGTACAGCAAAGCACCATTTTTGTCAGCATGGCTACCAGGAACATACTCCGGATCCCCATCAACACAGACGAATTCACTTGAATGCTTGTGGCTTTGATGACCAGTCATCAGATACCCATGATACTCCTCGGTCCAGCCAGATGGACAGTCATTCCTCGCGGGCATCATCAGCATTGAGCCACGTGACTTGACGAAGCAGACAACGCATGGCGCATCATGATTGTGAAGATTTTTCTTAAAAGGGTCTCCGTTGTATTGACTCACTTCATATTCAGTGCCGTACACGTATGCCTCATGCTGATGGCCATTTTTGTACTTGTCATATTTTGGATTGTGTGGAAGGCAGAGGTAATTCGCCCCACCACCAGGGTGAGCGTAGCCTCCTCCACCCATTATACCTAGTGCCAGGAGCAAAATTAACTTGATTAATAACTCTATATTACGTCCCGAATGGCCGTAAAAAACGATCTAGTGCAATTCTTTTTTCATGGTTGTTTCAAAGACAGGGAATAAAGTTGTCTGGAAAAAGAGAGCAGCAAAGACGTTGAATGTAATAAGCGTAATAATACTGGAAAAGAATTACTAGATATAGAAATATTCGCTAGTCACTCTACATCTTAAGAACCTATTTGCATTGACCAGTAGAGTTCAATAACCCTTACTATTTGGATGACCATTCTCTTACCTTTATAAACTACCTGAGCGCCACTAGGACAGGTGGTTCTTCCCCAGCGAACGTACTTCACCCCTGATGTCCCAGCTCCATCCTGTCCCTTTTCTCCTTTTGCACCTTGTGGTCCCTGGGCTCCAGTCTTCCCAACTGCTCCCTGGTCTCCTTTAGGACCAGGAGGGCCTGGGAATGGCTTGTTGGTTCCAGGTTTTCCCGCTTCCCCTGTGAAGAATGACCTCATGCTGAGCACTCAACAACGTTATTGGGTATTTCATTGCCAGAAAGTTTAATTTAATTAGATACGAGCGCTTTTAATTCCTTAGTTCGGTGCCATGGAGCCAGCTCGAATACTATTGCTTTTTCGCTCTTGTGTTTTGGTGTGGGTATTATTTAGTGTCTTTTCAATCTTTTGCATGAATTACGTCATTTGGTAATTAACCCGTTTGCAACACCAAGAAAGAAACAACAGATAATTTTACCTTTAGGTCCTGATAGTCCAGTAGCTCCAGTTTTTCCGGTTGGCCCAGCTGGCCCAGGTGTCCCAGGAGGCCCAGGGGGACCAGCTGGTCCAACGCGCACCTTTCCCAGGGTACTTTGACCATGCTGGCCTGAAATACACCAAGAACGGATGAACGCCAAGCACACAGCCTTGTTTGATTAGGTTAACCTACTCACAGCCCCTAATTCTTGGTTAGTTATAATATCTAAAACAATACTACTTAGTTAGAAATATCTCAGTTTTTTTTAACCTTTGTGAAACTACTGTTTATACTCGTTTCTGACAAAGTCACTTTTCTGACGATTGGAAACAGGAACCGAGAAAAGCAGTACTGTGACTCTTCCTTAGTACATTTTTTTTCTTTCGTCTGGATTAACTCCCTAGTTTGTGAAATCAGAAACACAAAGCAATAACACCGAGTAAGACATTTTTCAAGCGTTTTTAAAAACCTCATCTTCAATATACCAACATCATCAAAGAAACCGAATCAAGAAAAAAAATATGCAGATATTCGCACACTATCAAATTGAGGTACTTTTACAGAATATTTTTTCATTAGTTAAACTGAGAGTTGAGACCGCTTAAGAAAAAAGATGATATTTTTCTGCTCTTGTAGGAGATATTCGCCCACTATCACATTCAGGTACTTTTACAGAATATTTTTTGATTAGTTAAACTGAGAATTAATTGAAACCGCTTAAGAAAAAAGATGATATTTTTCTGCTCTTGTAGGGAGAATAAAAACTTTTATTTCCCACAACTGCTTATTTATCAGAGCCTCAAGCTGGAAAATATAGCTTTTCCAGTCACCTATAGTAAGTGTATTTATCTTGTTTACATCAAGTTTCTTTACCAACCTAATGAGACCAGTAGCGACGCATAAGAGTCCCCTGATCGAGATGGCATACGCAACAGCAGATCAAGTCTACGAAAAGATAACATGGCTGATAAACCTGACAGTCACACTCTTAGAATGGATTCCTTATAAGCTTGTATGGTAGGCAATTTTTTTACAGCTTCATACCTTGCACTGAGCTTATATATCATGCAATCAGAGCTCGCGGTATAGGAATTTGCATTATAGCTTAAATATAATCTCAAAAGAACTCTCTGCTGTTTTGTTCAGCTGTTCTATCTTGTAGACCTCAAAAATAAAGCCCTCTTCGAAGTAGGCAATTAAAATGAAAACGATCAAAACTCTTCATTATCGTAAAGGGTGAAATCTTGACTACAGCCAGATCACGCTGAAGAAGTTTCAAAACTTCATAATGATTTTTATTTATCCACATGCCTAAATGGCAGATTTCGGTGTTGTGGTGCTCTAAACAATTGAAAAGAGACACAAACGACAGTAACAAACGGTATTTTTATTGCAGGGCAGGGTTAACGTTGTAATTCATTGTTGAGTGGTTGCACGTTACATGTAAAAATTTCAACAATGATGAGCTTTTGAAGAAGAGAGTGAGTGCGCGTGAAATCTTCATTCTTCTGTTCCTGCCGTATTTGTTTTTTCATCACACTGAACTCTGGACATGCTTTCGGTACATTAAGTAATATTTAATTCTCAGAATACTGTAGTTTTTCATATCAAAACGGTTATTTAAAATTGATTTCTACTCCCATTAAAATCTGGATAAAAATTTGCAAAAAGGCAGAAAGGAAACTTTCTCCACCGAGCTTAAAAATCGACCATCATTCTTTATTTTGAAAGGAAGTAGTTCATTCAAGTAATGCAGAAAGTACTTATAGAGGAAGTACTGGATGGATCTGAATTAAACTTCAGGACTACTTTTCAATTTGTATAACATCACAACCTTTTTTCTATCTCTTCCAATCGCTTATTTGTCAAGCTTGTGCTGGTGTTGTGCCTTCAGTGGAGAAAATCAAAGAGACAACAGTGATCAAAGGTTCATTTTCCTACAATCAACGCCCGCAGATTTTCAACAACAGTCAACCAGAAAACTAATCTCGAAACGTAGTTTTTTGAATAAAGAGTCACTTGTTTACAGTCAGTCAAGAATAAATTGCACCTTAGAGTAAGATGCGTGACCGTTTTACATTGAAGCTAGACTTAAGTGGTCTTCGTCTACAAATGTGTTAAACCTTGTCATTGGTTTAGACTCCTCTAGAGAAATCTCAGTGTATTATTTAGGGCGTTAGCGACTCTCTCAGTTTCTTATCGAAGGGAAAAAAAGTTCTGAATTCGATTCAACAAAGGATACTCATTTGAAAGCTTACCTTTTTTCCATGGCGTTCAGTCTTCTTTCAAAGTCACCGCCGACAGAGCTGGCATTTTTCTTGGCTGCTCTCGGTCCTCGGTACAGCAACGACTGACTCTTAGCAGAAGTCAAATGAACCAGGATGAAACAGAACATCACCGACACAACCATGAAGCGCAGTCCGGTCCGATGTGACACGATTAGCGATAATTTCATTGCCGATCGAGTAGCGCTTTCCGAACTTGAACTTTTGAAATCAGTTAAATCCAAGAGAAAAAGAAAGATATCTCTTTCTATCCACCACAAGAAATTTGTTAATGCTTTGTTGATATCACTGGATTATGATACGCAGAAAAATAAGCGAGAATTTTTTCGCGTCTCTGACGTAGCACTACTTTAACCGGAAGTAAGTTTTAGAAGAACAGGGGTGCTTGCCATTTACACAAACCACCCGGGTGGGAATCTTTTTCATAAACACAAAACTATACACAAAACTATAAAATTTGACGTGGTTGGAGAACGACCCGCTACAAAGTATATCCCAATCAGCTTTGCATACTAAAAAGTGTAGAAAAATTGCATCGCTCATACAAATAGCAGCCCATGTTTTCTGAAGCTTCCCAAATATGGAATATCGCGAACCGAGGTTTGATTATCCATCCGGAATTTCCGGTTTTCCCGTGGTAAGTAACCGGCCCTGGATTCTACGAAACCCTTATAATAATGATCAACGAAAAAGGTCGTGAAAAAGTTCTGTGTTAGAATCAATGAATAATTTCGTATTTTTCAGCATTTCAGATTTTATAATTTCGTCTTCTTAATAGCCACCTTAAAAACGCTTACTAAATATTGCGACAGATTATTATCGTTTAATATTTGTACATTTTGATTATGGATTATCGCTAAAGTTGCGTGTATAATATAGAACCCGAATTATTTTAGGCAGAATGCGCAAGCAAAATTGTTCCCTTAAAAACTAAGAGTGGCATTTATGGTTGTTAGTATCAGCCCAGTATTGTTAGCCTGGGGATTTTGAATCCGTAGGTTTTTTCACATCATGATACGGGTTTTCAAATAACATCTAATTGTGTGAATAATTTATTTATAATTCTAACTTATAGTATCAATGACACCGACCATCATTCAATACACGTCGAGAGTGCTCAGACTACAATTGAGTAACTAATTGAAACAGAGAGGGAAAAAAAGCCTTCGGAACTCCTCATGCAACGTATTATTCTGGCCATTACATCTGGAGTGGAACCGGATGAAATGTACTGAGGTAATTTTTTTTTATACCGTCTGAATTCGATGTTCTTTAGCTGTTCTTAGCAGGCGCAAAGATTTTGCTTTTCATGTTAAGCGACAGACACACGATTAAACTTTCAAGTTGAATTCAATTCAAAGTTTAATGCCGCTGTTTTTAACTTCTGTAGCTCCGATTTCTCAAACCGCGAATTTCACAAGTGCCCAATTTAATTCGAGAATAAACTGCACATGAGATGCGACGTCTGAATCAGTTGAATTCGACAGCTTCAAATTAAATACGACTTTGCCAAATCTGCCACTGAAACAGTCGAAGATTCGACATAGGTTCGACATTTGATTCAGACGACGCATTTCACATGTGCAGAATATAATGCATTATTTAAGAAAGTGTTATCCATCATTGGACAACGAAAGGACGGCAGTTAAATTCGACACCATTATATCCGAAGTCTGAATAAACTACCGTATGTGAAAATTATTTTAGTCGACTAAAATGGGAGTTGAATCAGACCAAATAAGGCACATGTGAAATTCGACGGGCCTAAGGTTAAATTTTGAGATCCCTCATCTCTCTCCGCCACAAACCTTAGAGAAGGGTGCGATCCCTGGTCGCGATCTCACTCGCTCAGATCCATAACATTTAGCTCAGATATTTAACGTTTCTGCAGTGAGTGTCGGAACTCAAACTGTTTCCGCCCTGTCTCCTTCTAATTTATCAGTAGTCCGGCATTGACTAATGTACTAATGCTAGCATTAATCAAACAAAGGAATTGGAGGCGTCCCCATGATAATTTGACTAAGGGAAAGAAATACTACGTGAAAATCATCGATTACAGTACACATGAGAACGCCAGAGATCGATCGTAATTCACTGGCTTCTCACATCGCATCCCAGCGATCTCCTCCGCGCTATCTTTTCATGGGTTGGTTGTACAAACAGTTGACTGATTCTTAGTTACGGAAGGCCTTTTGAGTGAAGTAATTTACTAGGGAAATTATAGCCATCTTGCATTATGTTTGCCACGACATCACGCCACAAGACTCATATGCATGACGTTGTTTTATTTGCGAACAAACACAGATGAGTATAGTATGGCTTTGTACTTAATGTGTAATTATAAAACACACGAATAGGGGGATTTTCACTTATTACTTTAGTAACTCCGTCGACTTAAACTTCTCGAGGTTTTTCTTAGTTACTTGCGTGCTCAGGCAGCTTACTCAGAAACTGACGTTGAAAATCATTTGTTTGTCCTGAAAATTTACCTCTCATTTTTGCATTAAGAAAAAAAAACTGTTGTTTGTTCAGAAACTAATTAAAATCTATTTGACATATTTGTAGACAAAGCCAAATTGCTAGACCATATGCAAATCTGCGATTGAATACAAGAGAATACCGTCCTAGTAAAGTTTCAATTTGTATCGGAATTGTTCTAGTGGGTCAGCTGCAGTGCGAGAAGAAATCTTTGTGTAATAAACTGATTTGATTGGTAATTCTGACTCTAATAATATATATACCATCAGCATTGAGAATAGAACGTCTAGTATGCTATTAATACTAAATAACGATTCAATTGACTGACGCCGAATTAATGAACAGGTCCTATGAGGTATAGGTTTACAACTTGAAGTTTTCACGGACGCTCATTCAGCCAAACCATTCACTGTTAAATTGACGAAGTTCATTGTCTAGTAGACAGTTGTAGACTCTCCACCCAACATTTTAATGATACACTATACGCTCGGCACTGACCACATTTTCCACCTTGCCTCATTTGTATGGTTGATGCTATAACTACATATTAACGTACCAGCAAACCGCAATTTCGCAACGCGCATATTCCTTCGTTTAAATTCGAGGAGCGACTTTTAAACTGAAAAGCCATGTGCAATGCGTTTGTACAATATGGACTACCATTAGCCGGCAATTTCGCCGGCAAACAAACGGGTTAAGTTTAAACTGGAGTAGATTTGCCCTGATTCTTGACGAATCTAAGTGAGAAATTTTGGTAGTGGATCCGTTTTGACGTTCATGAAGATGCGTGAATCCAAAATAAAGAGTCCCGGTTTGGTTGCGTATCCCAAGATTTTGAATCCGGAATCAAAAGTGAATACAATATATTTTGCAACCGATTGTCGAATGTTCAGTCAGATGAATTGATGTGTTTAAAAGCCGCCTGCAAATCCGAATACTCTAAATATAGTAAATTCGGAAATATTTATGAATCCGGAAAAATCTCTTCTTGTGTAAACTTAGCCCAACAGGAAAGCTACGTTGGGGAAATGTATCATAATTCGGCATCCGATGGTGATTCAACGGGCTGTTTTTTCGGACCGCTAAACAGCATGCATGCAGTATTGTGAGCTCTACATACTTTCCTTACGCTCTTGATTCTGAATGTGGAAGGGATAGAATTAGGGGGCAAAGGTTGATAAGTCTTCTTAAATGTTGTAACTTTTGCCCTGGGACTAAATATTTTCTTTAAATACGAGAAAATAGAGAAAAAACACAGAATCACGGGAGTAGTAATTGATAATGAAGAGTTGTTCAAGTGCCATTTGGGGTTTATTTCCTTATCTTATCTTTTTCAAGATAACTAACTTATCTGTAGGTTGCGCTGATTTCCAAATTTAGATGTAGACTCTTAGCCAATGAAAAGACAGACATTGTGTGACTTTAATTTTTAGATACATTTTCGAATCTAATTGTAAATCGCTTTATTATCATTATTAATGACGAGACAGTTTCTGTTGTGCATTGAAGATGATGTGAACTTTCGCGTGTAAGATGAACTCAACAAATTGCCCTGCTCCCAATGTATAGATCTTCATAGTTCATGGGTTTTAATCGCGTTGAAGTTAGCCCCGAATTTTTATCGGGTTAAATTGCAATTGCTTCAATTGCGATTACAAATGTGACAGCCATATTTTCATTTACAGTTTTTGTTATCTTCATCGAGACGACTCTGAGTTCATTATCTTGAAGCTGAAAAAGAACTTATACTATTTTAAGCTTTAAACGCGAGCAGTGTCCCTTTGCTACCAGCTTAACGATCTCGTTTTAAACAATTCCCTGTTGCGAGGTCGTATATTGGGTGTCCTGTGACCCAGATAACGTACGCAAGTGTACAATATCATCTTATGGTCAATCAACGTTCTACTTCTCTACAGAATGTCTCGGCAAGAAAGAGGGAAGAAAATGTCCAGTTGAATTAAATAGATACTTGACTATTTCCTCACCAAAGGCTCGGAGTACAATTAAATCAAAATAGCCGAAAATGAAAGACCGGCTGCAATTTAAGTGGCTGCATAATAGCAATATTTGTGGTCCCTTCAATGACGAGTATGCGTTCATTGATGTACGTAAAATAAATCTATAATTTGCCGCGTATAAGGGTCAAAGTATTTTGAAACGCTTTTCTTCCTTGATTTCGGAGAAGGTAAAAGGATTTACAAGCGTGAAGATTCCCATTAAAGTAACATATTGTTCTTTCTAACTGATTATCTTTTATTTTTATAGTTTTTACTTTTACATGTAGCTCGTGTTATGCTACAATGGACTTTCCTTTACATTTTTTTTAACTTAATGGCGTATTATGATATTTCGAATCAAATATAATTATCCTTTTTTGACGTTGCAGCTCATTGTAAGCCCCTCATCACTTGGTACACACAGCGCATGTCAACTCTCGACCGCTGACATAAGGAAGACACGGAAGTGAGCCACAAACACCTTCCACAGCGTACAGCAAAGCACCATCTTTGTTGGCGTGGCTACCAGAAACATACTGCGGATCCCCATCAACACAGGCGAAGTCACTTGAATGCTTGTGGCCATGATATGCAGTCATTAGGTACCCATGATACTCCTCGGTCCAGCCAGATGGACAGTCATTCCTTGCGGGCATCATCAGCATTGAACCACGTGACTTGACGAAGCAGACAACGCATGGCGCATCATGATCATGGAGATTTCTCTTAAAAGGGTCTCCGTTGTATTGACTCACTTGATATTCAGTGCCGTACACGTATCCGGCATACTGATGGCCATTTTTGTACTTGTCATATTTTGGATTGTGTGGAAGGCAGAGGTAATTCGCCCCACCACCAGGGTAATTGTAGTTCTCTCCACCCATTATACCTGGTGCCAGGAGCAAAATTAACTCTATTAATAACTCGATATTACATCCCGAATGGCCGTAAAAACGATCTAGTGCAATTCTTTTTTCATGATGGTTTAAAAGATAGGGAATAAAGTTGTCTGGAAACAGAGAGCAGAAAAGACGTTAAATGTAATAAGCTTAATAATACTGGAAAAGAATTACTCGATATAGAAATATTCGCTAATCACTCTACATCTTAAGAACCTATTTGCATTGACCAGTAGAGTACAATAACCCTTACTATTTGGATGACCATTCTCTTACCTTTATAAACTACCTGAGCGCCACTAGGACATGTGGTTCTTCCCCAGCGAATGTACTTCACCCCTGATGTACCAGATCCATCCTGTCCCTTTTCTCCTTTTGCACCTTGTGGTCCCTGGACTCCAGTCTTCCCAACTACTCCCTGGTCTCCTTTAGGACCAGGAGGGCCTGGGAATGGCTTGTTGATTCCAGGTTTTCCCGCGTCCCCTGTGAAGAATAACCTCATGCTGAGCACTCAACAACGTTATTGGGTATTTCATTGCCAGAAAATTTAATTTCCGCCGATTAGATACGAGCGCTTTTAATTTCTCAGTTAGGTGCCGTGGAGCCAGCTCGAAAACTATTGCTTTTCGCTCTTGTGTTTTGGTGTGGGTATTATTTAGCGTCTTTTCAATCTTTTGCATGAATTACGTCATTTGGTGATTAACCCGTTTGTAACACCAAGAAAGAAACAACAGATAATTTTACCTTTAGGTCCTGATGGTCCAGTAGCTCCAGTTTTCCCGGTTAGTCCAGCTGGCCCAGGTGTCCCAGGAGGCCCAGGGGGACCAGCTTGTCCAACGCGCACCTTTCCCAGGGTACTTTGACCATGCTGGCCTGAAATACACCAAGAACGGATGAACGCCAAGCACACAGCCTTAATTGATAGGTTAACCCACTCACAGCCGCTAATTCTTGGTTACTTATAATATCTAAAACAATACTACTTAGTTATAAATATCTCAGTTTTTTTAACCTTCGTGAAACTACTGTTTTTACTTGTTTGTAACAAAGTCACGTTGCTGATTACTGGAAACAGGAACCGAGAAAAGCAGTACGCGGTTACCCTTCCTTAGTACACTTTTTTTCTTTCGTCTGGATTAACTTAACTGTCTAGTTTGTGAAATCAGAAACACAAAGCAATAACACCGAGTAAGACATTTTTCCAAGCGTTTTTAAAAACCTCATCTTCAATATACCAACATCATCAAAGAAACCGAATCAAGAGAGAAAATGTGGACCAGTAATCGCCCACTATCAAATTCAGGTACTTTTACAGAATATTTTTTGATTAGTTAAACAGAGGATTAAAACCGCTTAAGAAAAAGGATGATATTTTTCTGCTCTTGTAGGAAGAGTAAAATCTTTTATTTCCCACAACTGCTTATTTATCTGGGCTTCAAGCTAGAAAATATAGCTTTTTCAGTCACCTATAGTAAGTGTATTCATCCTTTTAAATCAAGTTCCTTTACCAACCTAATAAGTAGACCAGTAGCGACGCATACGAGTCCCCTGATCGAGATGGTATACGCAACAGCAGATCAAGTCTACGAAAAGATAACATGGCTGATAAACCTGACAGTTACACTCTTAGAATGGATTCCTTATAAGCTTGTATAGTAGGCAATTTTTTTACAGCTTTATACCTTGCAGCTTATATATCATGCAATGAGAGCGCGCGGTATAGAAATTTGCATTATAGCTATATATAATCTCAATAGAACTCTCTGCTGTTCTGTTCAGCTGTTCTATCTTGTAGACCTCAAAAATAAAGCCCTCCTTGAAGTACGCAATTAAAATGAAAACGATCAAAACTCTTCATACTCGTAAAGGGTGAAATCTTGTCTACAGACGGATCACGCTAAAGAAGGTTCAAAACTTCATAATGATTTTTATTTATCCACATGCCTAAATGGCAGATTTCGGTGTTGTGGTGCTCTAAACAATTGAAAAGAGACACAAACGACAGTAACAAACGGTATTTTTATTGCAGGGCAGGGTTAACGTTGTCATTAATTGTTGAGTGGTTGCACGTTACATGTAAAAATTTCAACAATGATGAGCTTTTGAAGAAGAGAGTGAGTTCGCGTGAAATCTTCATTCTTCTCTTCCTGCCGTATTTGTTTTTTCATCACACTGGACTCTGGACATGCTTTCGGTACATTAAGTAATATTTAATTCTCAGAATACTGTAGTTTTTCAAATCAAAACGGTTATTTAAAATTGTTTTCTACTCCCATTAAAATCTGGATAAAAATTGGCAAAAAGGCAGAAAGGAAAATTTCTCCACCGAGCTTAAAAATCGACCATCATTCTTTATTTTGAAAGGAAGTAGTTCATTCAAGTAATGCAGAAAGTACTTATAGAGGAAGAACTGGATGGATCTGAATTAAACTTCAGGACTACTTTTCAATTTGTATAACATCACAAACCTTTTTCTATCTCTTCCAATCGCTTATTTGTCAAGCTTGTGCTGGTGTTGTGCCTTCAGTGGAGAAAATCAAAGAGACAACAGTGATCAAAGGTTGATTTTCCTACAATCAACGCCCGAAGATTTTCAACAACAGTCAACCAGAAAACTAATCTCGAAACGTAGTTTTTTGAATAGAGTCACTTGTTAAGTTTACAGTCAGTCAAGAACAAATTGCACCTTAGAGTAAGATGCGTGACCGTTTTACATTGAAGCTAGACTTAAGTGGTCCTCGTCTACAAATGTGTTAAACCTTGTCATTGGTTTAGACTCCTCTAGAGAAATTTATCGACGGGAAAAAAAAGTTCTGAATTCGATTCAACAAAGGATATTCATTTGAAAGCTTACCTTTTTTCCATGGCGTTCAGTCTTCTTTCAAAGTCACCGCCGACAGAGTTGGCATTTTTCTTGGCTGCTCTCGGTCCTCGGTACAGCAACGACTGACTCTTAGCAGAAGTCAATTGAACAAGGATGACACAGAACATCACCGACACAACCATCAAGCGCAGTCCGGTCCGATGTAACACGATTGGCGATAATTTCATTGCCGATCGAGTAGCGCTTTCCGAACTTGAACTTTTGAAATCAGTTAAATCCAAGAGAAAAAGAAAGATATCTCTTTCTATCCACCACAAGAAATTTGTTAATGCTTTGTTGATATCACTGGATTATGATACGCAGAAAAATAAGCGAGAATTTTTTCGCGTCTCTGACGTAGTACTACTTTAACCGGAAGTAAGTTTTTGAATAACAGGGGTGCTTGCCATTTACACAAACCACCCGGGTGGGAATCTTTTTCATAAACACAAAACTATACACAAAACTATAAAATTTGACGTGGTTGGAAAACGACCCGCTACAAAGTATATCCAAATCAGCTTTGCAGACTAAAAAGAGTGGAAAAATTGCATCGCTCATACAAATAGCAGCCCATGTTTTCTGAAGCTTAACAAATATGGAATAGCGCGAACCGAGGTTTGATTATCCATCCGGAATTTCCGCTTTTCCCGTGGTACTGAAGTAACCGGCCCTGGATTCCACGAAACCCTTATAATAATGATCAACGAACAAGGTCGTGAAAAAGTTCTGTGTTAGAATCAATGAATAATTTCGTATTTTTCAGCATTTCAGATTTTATAATTTCGTCTTCTTAATAGCCACCTTAAAAGCGCTTACTAAATATTGCGACAGATTATTATTGCTTGATATTTGTACATTTTTATTATGGATTATCGCTAAAGTTGCGTGTATAATATAGAACCCGAATTATTTTAGGCAGAATGCGCAAGCAAAATTGTTCCCTTAAAAACTAAGAGTGGCATTTATGGTTGTTAGTATCAGCCCAGTATTGTTAGCCTGGGAATTTTGAATCCGTAGGTTTTTTCACATCATGATACGGGTTTTCAAATAACATCTAATTGTGTGAATAATTTATTTATAATTCTAACTTATAGTATCAATAACACTGACCATCATTCAATACACGTCGAGAGTGCTCAGACTACAATTGACTAACTAATTGAAACAGAGAGGGAAAAAAAGCCTTCTGAACTCCTAATGCAACGTATTATTCTGGCCATTACATCTGGAGTGGAACCGGATGAAATGTACTGAGGTAATTTTTTTTTATACCGTCTGAATTCAATGTTCTTTAGCTGTTCTTAGCAGGCGCAAAGATTTTGCTTTTCATGTTAAGCGACTGCCACACGATTAAACTTTCTTGATGAATTCAATTCAAAGTTTACTGCCGCTGTTTTTAACTTCTGTAGCTGCGATTTCTCAAACCGCGAATTTCACAATTGCCGAATTTAATTCGAGAATAAACTGCACAAGAGATGCGACATCTGAATCAGTTGAATTCGACACTTTTAAATTAAATACGACTTTGCCAAATCTGCCACTGAAACAGTCGAAGATTCGACTTGGGTTCGACATTTGATTAAGACGACGCATTTCACATGTGCAGAATATAATGCATTATGTAAGAAAGTGTTATCCATATTGGACAACGAAAGGACGGCAGTTAAATTCGACACCATTATATCCGAAGTCTGAATAAACTGCCGTATGTAAAAATTATTTTAGTCGACTAAAATGGGAGCTGAATCAGACCAAATAAGGCACATGTGAAATTCGACGGGCCTAAGGTTAAATTTTGAGACCCCTCATCTCTCTCCGCCACAAACCTCAGAGAAGGGTGCGATCCCTGGTCGCGATCTCACTCGCTCTGATCCATAACATTTAGCTCAGGTATTTAATGTTTCTGCAGTGAGTGTCGGAACTCTAACTGTTTCTGCCCTTTCCCCTTCTAATTTATCAGGAGTCCGGCATTGACCTAATGTACTAATGCTAGCATTAAACAAACAAAGGAATTGGAGGCGTGCTAATGATAATTTGACTAAGGGAAAGAAATACTACGTGAAAATCATCGACTACAGTACACATGAGAACGCGAGAGATCGATCGTAATTCACTGGCTTCTCACATCGCATCCCAGCGATCTTCTCCGCGCTATCTTTTCATGGGTTGGTTGTACAAACAGTTGACTGATTCTTAGTTAGGGAAGGCTTTTAGAGTGAAATAATTTCCTAGGGAAATTATAGCCATCTTGCATTATGTTTGCCACGACATCACGCCACAAGACTCATATGCATGACGTTGTTTTATTGCGAACAAACACAGATGAGTATAGTATGGCTTTGTACTTAATGTGTAATTATAAAACACACGAATAGGGCGATTTTCACTTATTACTTTAGTAACTCCGTCGACTTAAACTTCTCGAGGTTTTTCTTAGTTACTTGCGTGTTCAGGCAGCTTACTCAGAAACTGACGTTGAAAATCACTTGTTTGTCCTGAAAATTTGCCTCTCATTTTTGCCTTAAGAAAAGAAACTGTTGTTTGTTCAGAAACTAATTAAAATCTATTTGACGTATTTGTAGACAAAGCCAAATTGCTAGACCATATGCAAATCTGCGATTGAATACAAGAGAATACCGTCCTGAGTAAACTTTCAATTTGTATCGGAATTGTTCTAGTGGGTCAGCTGCAGTGCGAGAAGAAATCTTTTTGTAATAAACTGATTTGATTGGTAATTCTGACTCTAATAATATATATACCATCAGCATTGAGAATAGAAAGTCTAGTATGCTATTAATACTAAATAACGATTCAATTGACTGACGCCGATTTAATGAACAGGTCCTATGACGTATAGGTTTACAACTTGAAGTTTTCACGGACGCTCATTCAGCCAAACCATTCACTGTTAAATTGACGAAGTTCATTGTCTAGTAGACAGTAGTAGACTCTCCACCCAACATTTTAATGATACACTATACGCTCGGCACTGACCACATTTTCCACCTTGCCTCATTTGTATGGTTGATGCTATAACTGCATATTAACGTACCAGCAAACCGCAATTTCGCAACGCACATATTCCTTCGTTTAAATTCGAGTAGCGACTTTTAAACTGAAAAGCCATGTGCAATGCGCTTGTACAATATGGACTACCGTTAGCCGGCAATTTCGCCGGCAAACAAACGGGTTAAGTTTAAACTGGAGTAGATTTGCCCTCATTCTTGACGAATCTAAGTGGGGAAATTTTGGTAGTGGATCCGTTTTGACGTTCACGAAGATGCGTGAATCCAAAATAAAGAGTCCCGGTTTGGTTGCGTATCCCAAGATTTTGAATGCGGAATCAAAAGTGAATACAATATATTTTGCAACCGATTGTCGAATGTTCAATCAGATGAATTGATGTGTGTAAAAGCCGCCTGCAAATCCGAATACTCTAAATATAGTAAATTCGGAAATATTTATGAATTCGGAGAAATCTCTTCTGGTGTAAACTTAGCCCAACAAGAAAGCTACGTTGGGGAAATGTATCATAATTCGGCATCCGATGGTGATTCAACGGGCTGTTTTTTCCTACCGCTAAACAGCATGCATGCAGTATTGTAAGCTCTAGATACTTTCCTTACGCTCTTGATTCTGAATGTGGAAGCGATAGAATTAGGGGGCAAAGGTTGATAAGTGTTCTTAAATGTTGTAACTTTTGCCCTGGGACTAAATATTTTCTTTAAATACGAGAAAATAGAGCACGAGCGAAAACACAGAATCACGGGAGTAGTAATTGATAATGAAGAGTTGTTCAAGTGCCATTTGGGGTTTATTTCCTTATCTTATCTTTTTCAAGATGACTAACTTATCTGTAGGTTGCGCTGATTTCCAAATTTAAATGTAGACTCTTAGCCAATGAAAAGACAGACAGTGTGTGACTTTAATTTTTAGATACATTTTCGAATTTAATTGTAAATCGCTTTATTATCATTATTAATGACGAGACAGTTTCTGTTGTGCAGTGACGATGATGTGAACTTTCGCGTGTAAGATAAACTCAACAAATTGCCCTGCTCCCAATGTATAGATCTTTATAGTTCATGGGTTTTAATCGCGTTTAAGTTAGCCCCGAATTTTTATCGGGTTAAATTGTAATTGCTTCAATTGCGATTACAAATGTGACAGCCATATTTTCATTTAGAGTTTTTGTTATCTTCATAGAGACGACTCTGAGTTCATTATCTTGAAGCTGAAAAAGAACTTATACTGTTTTAAGCTTTAAACGCGAGCAGTGTCTCTTTGCCAACAGCTTAATCTCATTCTAAATAATTCCCTGTTGTCAGGTCGAAAGATTAATGGTGATATAGAAAATTATATTGGGTGTCCTGTGAACCAGATAACGTACGCAAGTGTGCAATATCATCTTACGGTCAATCAACGTTCAACTTCTCTAAAGAATGTCTCGGCAAGAAAGAGGAAAGAAAATGTCCAGTTGAATTAAATAGATACTTGACTATTTCCTCACCAAAGTCTCGCAGTACAGTTAAATCAAAATAGCCGAAATATAGCATAAAAAAAAAATTGTGGTGTATTCAATGACGAACATGCGTTTATTGCCACTTAAAAAAATCTATTATTTGCTGCGTATAAGCGTCAAAGTATTTTGAAATGCTTTTCTTCCTTGATTTCGGACAAGGTAAAAGGATATAGGAGCTTAAAGATTCCCAGTAAAGTAACATATTGTTTTTTCTGACTGATTATCTTTTATTTTTATTGTTTTTACTTGTACATGTAGCTAGTGTTATGCTACAATGGACTTTCCTTCACGTTTTTTTTAACTTAATGGCGTATTATGATATTTCGAATCAAATATAATTATCCTTTTTTTTGACGTTGCAGCTTGTTGTAAGCCCCTCATCACTTGGTACACACAGCGCATGTCAACTCTCGACCGCCGACATAAGGAAGACACGGGAGTGAGCCACAAACACCTTCCACAGCGTACAGCAAAGCACCATTTTTGTCAGCATGGCTACCAGGAACAGACTCCGGATCCCCATCAACACAGACGAAGTCACTTGCATGCCTCTGGCCACGAGCTGCAGTCATCAGGTACCCGTGATACTCTTCGGTCCAGCCAGATGGACAGTCATTCCTCGCGGGCATCATCAGCATTGAGCCACGTGACTTAACGAAGCAGACAACGCATGGCGCATCATGATTATGGAGATTTCTCTTAAAAGGGTCTCCGTTGTATTGACTCACTTCATATTCAGTGCCGTACACGTATCCGGCGGCCTGATGGCCATTTTTGTACTTGTCATATTTTGGATTGTGTGGAAGGCAGAGGTAACTCACCCCACCACCCTGGTTATAGTAGTTTTCTCCGCCCATTATACCTAGTGGCAGGAGCAAAATTAACTTGATTAATAACTCTATATTACGTTCCGAATGGTCGTAAACAACGATCTAGTACAATTCTTTTTTCATGATGGTTTAAAAAATAGGGAATAAAGTTGTCTGGAAAGAGAGAGCAGCAAAGACGTTGAATGTAATAAGCGTAATAATACTGGGAAAGAATTACTCGATATAGAAATATTCGCTAGTCACTCTCGGATCCACAACTTAAGAACCTATTTGCATTGACCAGTAGAGTGCAATAACCCTTACTATTTGGATGACCATTCTCTTACCTTTATAAACTACATGAGCGCCGCTAGGACATGTGGTTCTTCCCCAGCGAACGTACTTCACCCCTGATGTCCCAGATCCATCCCGTCCCTTTTCTCCTTTTGGACCCTGTGGTCCTTGGGCTCCAGTCTTCCCAACTGCTCCCTGGTCTCCTTTAGCACCAGGAGGGCCTGGGAATGGCTTGTTGATTCCAGGTTTTCCCGCGTCCCCTGTGAAGAATAACCCCATGCTGAGCACTCAACAACGTTATTGGGTATTTCATTGCCAGAAAATTTAATTTCCGCCGATTAGATACGAGCGCTTTTAATTTCTCATTTTGGTGCCATGGAGCCATAGATGCTCAAAAACTATTGCTTTTTCGCTCTTGTGTTTTGGTGTGGGTATTATTTAGCGTCTTTTCAATCTTTTGCATGAATTACGTCATTTGGTGATTAACCCGCTTGTAACACCAAGAAAGAAACAACAGATAATTTTACCTTTAGGTCCCGATGGTCCAGTAGCTCCAGTTTTTCCGGTTGGTCCAACTGGCCCAGGTGTCCCAGGAGGCCCAGGGGGACCAGCTGGTCCAACGCGCACCTTTCCCAGGGTACTTTGACCATGCTGGCCTGAAATACACCAAGGACGGATGAATGCCAAGCACACAGCCTTATTTGATTAGGTTAACCTACTCACAGCCGCTAATTCTTGGTTACTTATAATATCTAAAACAATACTACTTAGTTATAAATATCTCAGCTTTTTTAACCTTTGTGAAACTACTGTTTTTACTTGTTTCTAACAAAGTCACTTTTCTGACGATTGGAAACAGGAACCGAGAAAAGCAGTACTGTGACACTTCCTTAGTACATTTTTTTCTTTCGTCTGGATTAACTCCCTAGTTTGTGAAATCAGAAACACAAAGCAATAACACCGAGTAAGACATTTTTCAAGAATTTTTAAAAACCTCATCTTCAATATACCAACATCATCAAAGAAACCGAATCAAGAAAGCAAATATGCAGATATTCGCACACTATCAAATTCAGGTACTTTTACAGAATATTTTTTGATTAGTTAAACTGAGAATTGAAACCGCTTAAGAAAAAAGATGATATTTTTCTGCTCTTGTAGGAGATATTCGCCCACTATCAAATTCAGGTACTTAAACAGAATATTTTTTGATTAGTTAAACTGACAATTGAAACCGCTTAAGAAAAGAGATATTTTTCTGCTCTTGTAGGGAGAGTAAAAACTTTTATTTCCCACAACTGCTTATTTATCAGAGCCTCAAGCTGGAAAATATAGCTTTTCCAGTCACCTATAGTAAGTGTATTTATCTTGTTTACATCAAGTTTCTTTACCAACCTAATGAGACCAGTAGCGACGCATAAGAGTCCCCTGATCGAGATGGCATACGCAACAGCAGATCAAGTCTACGAAAAGATAACATGGCTGATAAACCTGACAGTTACACTCTTAGAATGGATTCCTTATAAGCTTGTATAGCAGGCAATTTTTTCACAGCTTCATACCTTGCACTGAGCTTATATATCATGCAATGAGAGCGCGCGGTATAGAAATTTTCATTATAACTATATATAATCTCAATAGAACTTTCTGCTGTTCTGTTCAACTGTTCTATCTTGTAGACCTCAAAAATAAAGTCCTCCTTGAAGTAGGCAATTAAAATGAAAACGATCAAAACTCTTGATACTCGTAAAGGGTGAAATCTTGTCTACAGCCGGATCACGCTAGAGAAGTTTCAAAACTTCATAATGATTTTTATTTATCCACATGCCTAAATGGCAGATTTCGGTGTTGTGGTGCTCTAAACAATTGAAAAGAGACACAAACGACAGTAACAAACGGTATTTTTATTGCAGGGCAGAGTTAACGTTGTCATTAATTGTTGAGTGGTTGCACGTTACATGTAAAAATTTCAACAATGATGAGCTCACTTTGAAGAACAGAGTGAGTGCGCCTGAAATCCTCATTCTTCTCTTCCTGCCGTATTTATTTTTTCATCAGACTGAACTCTGGACATGCTTTCGGTACATTAAGTAATATTTAATTCTCAGAATACTGTAGTTTTTCAAATCAAAACGGTCATTTTAAATTGTTTTCTACTCCCATTAAAATCTGGATAAAAATTTGCAAAAAGGCAGAAAGGAAAATTTCTCCACCGAGCTTAAAAATCGACCATTATTCTTTATTTTGAAAGGAAGTAGTTCATTCAAGTAATGCAGAAAGTACTTATAGAGGAAGTACTGGATGGATCTGAATTAAACTTCAGGACTACTTTTCAATTTGTATAACATCACAAACCTTTTTTCTATCTCTTCCAATCGCTTATTTGTCAAGCTTGTGCTGGTGTTGTGCCTTCAGTGGAGAAAATAAAAGAGACAACAGTGATCAAACGTTGATTTTCCTACAATCAACGCCCGCAGATTTTCAATAACAGTCAACCAGAAAACTAATCTCGAAACGTAGTTTTTTGAATAAAGAGTCACTTGTTTACAGTCAGTCAAGAATGAATTGCACCTTAGAGTAAGATGCGTGACCGTTTTACATTGAAGCTAGACTTAAGTGATCTTCGTCTACAGATGTGTTAAACCTTGTCATTGGTTTAGACTCCTCTAGAGAAATCTCAGTGTATTGTTTTGGGCGTTAGCGACTCTCTCAGTTTCTTATCGAAGGGAAAAAAAAGTTCTGAATTCGATTCAACAAAGGATATTCATTTGAAAGCTTACCTTTTTTCCATGGCGTTCAGTCTTCTTTCAAAGTCACCGCCGACAGAGTGGGCATTTTTCTTGGCTGCTCTCGGTCCTCGGTACAGCAATGACTGACTCTTAGCATAAGTCAAATGAACGAGGATGACACAGAACATCACCGACACAACCATGAAGCGCAGTCCGGTCCGATGTGACGCGGTTGACGATAATTTCATTGCCGATCGAGTAGCGCTTTCCTTAAAACTTGAACTTTTGAAATCAGTTAAATCCAAGAGAAAAACAAAGATATCTCTTTCTATCCACCACAAGAAATTTGTTAATGCTTTGTTGATATCACTAGATTATGATACATAGAAAAGTAAACGAGAATTTTTTCGCGTCTCTGACGTAGCACTACTTTAACCGGAAGTATGTTTTTGAAGAACAGGCCGGGGTGCTTGCCATTTACACAAACCACCCGGGTGGGAATCTTTTTCATAAACACAAAACTATACGCAAAACTATAAAATTTGACGTGGTTGGAGAACGACCCGCTACAGAGTAGGAAAATTGCATAGCTCATACAAATAGCAGCCCATGTTTTCTGAAGCTTCCCAAATATAGAATACCGCGAACCGAGGTTTGATTATCCATCCGGAATTTCCGGTTTTCCCGTGGTAAGTAACCGGCCCTGGATTCCACGAAACCCTTATAATAATGATCAACGAACAAGGTCGTGAAAAAGTTCTGTGTTAGAATCAATGAATAATTTCGTATTTTTCAGCATTTCAGATTTTATAATCCCGTCTTCTTAATAGCCACCTTAAAAGCGCTTACTAAATATTGCGACAGATTATTATCCCAGTTTAATATTTGTACATTTTGATTATGGATTATCGCTAAAGCGGCGTGTATTATATAGAACTCGAATTATTTTAGGCAGAATGGGCAAGCAAAATTGTTCCCTTAAACTTAAAGAGTGGCATTTATGGTTGTTAGTATCAGCCCAGTATTGTTAGCCTGGGGATTTTTAATCCGTTGGTTTTTTCACATCATGATACGGGTTTTCAAATAGCATCTAATTGTGTGAATAATTTATTTATAATTCTAACTCATAGTATCAATAACACTGACCATCATTCAATACACGTCGAGAGTGCTCAGACTACAATTGACTAACTAATTGAAACAGAGAGGAAAAAAAAGCCTTCGGAACTCCTCATGCAACGTATTATTCTGGCCATTACATCTGGAGTGGAACCGGATGAAATGGACTGAGGTAATTTTTTTTTATGCCGTCTGAATTCGATGTTCTTTAGCTGTTCTTAGCAGGCGCAAAGATTTTGCTTTTCATGTTGAGGGACTGCCACACAATTAAACTTTCATGTTGAATTCAATTCAAAGTTTAATGCCGCTGTTCTTAACTTCTGTTGCTCCGATTTCTCAAACCGCGAATTTCACAAGTGCCGAATTTAATTCGAGAATAAACTGCACATGAGATGCGACGTCTGAATCAGTTGAATTCGACAGTTTCAAAGTAAATACGACTTTGCCATAACTGCCACTGAAACAGTCGAAGATTCGACTTAGGTTCGACATTTGATTCAGACGACGCATTTCACATGTGCAGAATATAATGCATTATGTAAGAAAGTGTTATCCATATTGGACAACGAGAGGACGGCAGTTAAATTCGACACCATTATATCCGAAGTCTGAATAAACTGCCGTATGTAAAAATTATTCTAGTCGACTAAAATGGGAGTTGAATCAGACCAAATAAGGCACATGTGAAATTCGACGGGCCTAAGGTTAAATTTTGAGATCCCTCATCTCTCTCCGCCACAAACCTCAGAGAAGGGTGCGATCCCTGGTCGTGATCTCACTCGCTCAGATCCATAACATTTAGCTCAGGTATTTAATGTTTCTGCAGTAAGTGTTGGAACTCTATCTGTTTCTGCCCTTTCCCCTTCTAATTTATCAGTAGTCCGGCATTGACTAATGTACTAACGCTAGCATTAAACAAACAAAGGAATTGGAGGCGTGCCCATGATAATTTGACTAAGGGAAAGAAATACTACGTGAAAATCATCGATTATAGTACACATGAGAACGCGAGAGATCGATCCTAATTCACTGGCTTCTCACATCGCATCATCGCAGCGATCTTCTCCGCGCTATCTTTTCATGGGTTGGTTGTACAAACAGTTGACTGACTCTTAGTTAGGGAAGGCTTTTAGAGTGAAATAATTTACTAGGGAAATTATAGCCATCTTGCATTATGTTTGCCACGACATCACGCCACAAGACTCATATGCATGACGTTGTTTAATTTGCGAATAAACACAGATGAGTATAGTATGGCTTTGTACTTAATGTGTAATTATAAAACACACGAATAGGGGGATTTTCACTTATTACCTTAGTAACTCCGTCAACTTAAACTTCTCGAGGCTTTTCTTAGTTACCTGCGTGTTCAGGCAGTTTACTCAGAAACTGACGCTGAAAATCATTTGTTTGTCCTGAAAATTTGCCTCT